CGGAGGACAGCAGTTACAGTGTCCACGGAGCCAGATGTCTGCCTAGCGACTGGTGGACAGGCAGTCACAGTGTCCAGGAATCCAGATGGCTGGCCTAGCAGCCGTGGACAATAGTCACAGTGGGCCAGTGAGCCAGATGTCTAACCTAGCGGCCGGTGGACAGCAGTCACTGTGTCCAGGGAGCCAGATAGCTGGCCTAGCAGCCGGTGTACAGCAGTCCCAGTGTCCAGAGAGCCGGATGACTGACCTAGTGACCGGTGGACAGCCGTGACAATGTCAAGAATGCCGGATGTCTGGTCTAGCAGACGGTGGCAGTAGTCACAGTGTCGAGGGAGCCGAATGCCAGGCCTAGCGGCCGGTGGACAGCCGTCACTGTCAAGAAAGCCGGATATGTGGCCTTGCAGCCGGTGGACAGTAATCACAGTGTCGAGGGAGCCGGATGGCTGGCCTAGCAGCCGGTTAACAGCAGTAACAGTCTCCAGGGAGCCAGATGGCTGACCTAGCAGCCGGTGGACAGTACAGTGTCCAGGGAGCCGGATGGCTGGCCTAGCGGCCGGTGGTCAGCAGTCACAGTGTCCAGGGAGCCGGATGGCTGGCCTAGCGGCCGGTGGTCAGCAGTCACAGTGTCCAGGGAGCCGGATGACTGGCCTAGCGGCCGGTGGACAGCAGTCCCAGTGTCCAGGGAGCCGGATGGCTGGCCTAGCAGCCGGTGGTCAGCAGTCCCAGTGTCCAGGGAGCCGGATGGCTGGCCTAGCAGCCGGTTAACAGCAGTTACAGTCTCCAGGGAGCCGGATGGCTGACCTAGCAGCCGGTGGACAGCAGTCACAGTGTCCATGGAGCCGGATGGCTGGCCTAGCAGCCGGTGGACAGCAGTCACAGTGTCCAGGGAGCCGGATGGCTGGCCTAGCAGCCGGTGGACAGCAGTCACAGTGTCCAGGGAGCCGGATGGCTGACCTAGCAGCTGGTGGACAGCAGTCACAGTGTCCAGGGAGCCGGATGACTGGCCTAGCAGCCGGTGGGCAGCAGTCACAGTGTCCAGGGAGCCGGATGGCTGGCCTAGCAGCCGGTGGGCAGCAGTCACAGTGTCTAAGGAGCCGGATGGCTGGCCTAGCGGCCGGTGGGCAGCAGTCATAGTGTCCAGGGAGCCGGATGGCTGGCCTAGCAGCCTGTGGTCAGCAGTCTCATTGTCTAGGGAGCCGGATGGCTGGCCTAGCAGCCGGTGGACAGCAGTCACAGTGTCCAGGGAGCCGGATGGCTGGCCTAGCAGCCGGTGGACAGCAGTCACAGTGTCCAGGGAGCCGGATGGCTGGCCTAGCAGCCGGTGGACAGCAGTCACAGTGTCTAGGGAGCCGGATGGCTGGCCTAGCAGCCGGTGGACAGCAGTCACAGTGTCCAGGGAGCCGGATGGCTGGCCTTGGCCTCAATAATCCTCAAGTATCATTTGTCCGTTATCAGTATTTTTCGTTAATTTTATAATGAGGTGTAGCCAGTTATCTCAGCAGGCTTCCCAAGGTAGGCTTCCCAAGATAGGCTCCACAAGGTAGGCTTCCCAAGGTAGGCTCCCCAAAATAGGCTTCCCAAGGTAGGCTTCCCAAGGTAGGCTTCCCAAGATAGGCTCCACAAGGTAGGCTTCCCAAGGTAGGCTCCCCAAAATAGGCTTCACAAGGTAGGCTTCCCAAGGTAGGCTCCACAAGGTAGGCTTCTCAAGGTAGGCTCCCCAAGGTAGGCTCCACAAGGTAGGCTCCCCAAGGTAGGCTCCACAAGGTAGGCTCCCCAAGGTAGGCTCCCCAAGGTAGGCTCCACAAGGTAGGCTCCCCAAGGTAGGCTCCACAAGGTAGGCTCCCCATGGTAGGCTCCCCAAGGTAGGCTCCACAAGGTAGGCTCTACAAGGTAGGCTTCCCAAGGTAGGCTCCCCAAGGTAGGCTACACAAGGTAGGCTCCACAAGTTAGGCTCCACAAGGTAGGCTCCCCAAGGTAGGCTCCACAAGGTAGGCTTCCCAAGGTAGGCTCCCCAAGGTAGGCTTCCCAAGGTAGGCTTCCCAAGGTAGGCTCCACAAGGTAGGCTCCCCAAGGTAGGCTCCCCAAGGTAGGCTCCACAAGGTAGGCTCCCCAAGGTAGGCTCCCCAAGGTAGGCTCCCCAAGGTAGGCTCCACAAGGTAGGCTTCCCAAGGTAGGCTCCCAAAGGTAGGCTCCACAAGGTAGGCTCCACAAGGTAGGCTCCACAAGGTAGGCTCCCAAAGGTAGGCTCCACAATGTAGGCTTCCCAAGGTAGGCTCCCCAAGGTAGGCTTCCCAAGGTAGGCTTCCCAAGGTAGGCTTCCCAAGGTAGGCTCCACAAGGTAGGCTCCCCAAGGTAGGCTCCCCATGGTAGGTTCCACAAGGTAGGCTCCCCAAGGTAGGCTCCACAAGGTAGGCTCCCCAAGGTAGGCTCCCCAAGGTAGGCTCCACAAGGTAGGCTCCACAAGGTAGGCTCTCAAGGTAGGCTCCCCAAGGTAGGCTCCACAAGGTAGGCTCCCCAAGGTTGGCTCCAAAAGGTAGGCTCCCCAAGGTAGGCTCCACAAGGTAGGCTCCCAAGGTAGGCTCCCCAGGCAGGCTCCACAAGGTGGGCTCCACAAGGTAGGCTCCACAAGGTAGGCTCCCCAAGGTAGGCTCCACAAGGTAGGCTCCCAAGGTAGGCTCTACAGGTAGGCTCCACAAGGTGGGCTCCACAAGGTAGGCTCCACAAGGTAGGTTTCACAAGGTAGGCTCCACAAGGTGGGCTCCACAAGGTAGGTTCCGCAAGGTGGGCTCCACAAGATAGGCTCCACAAGGTGGGCTCCACAAGGTAGGCTCCACAAGGTGGGTTCCACAAGGTAGGCTCCACAAGGTGGGCTCCACAAGGTAGGTTCCACAAGGTAGGTTCCACAGGGTAGGCTCCACAAGGTAGGCTCCCCAAGGTAGGCTCCACAAGGTAGGCTCCACAAGGTGGGCTCCACAAGGTAGGCTCCACAAGGTGGGCTCCACAAGGTAGGCTCCATAAGGTGGGCTCTACAAGGTAGGTTCCACAAGGTAGGTTTCACAGGGCAGGCTCCACAAGGTAGGCTCCACAAGGTAGGCTCCACAAGGTAGGCTCCACAAGGTAGGCTCCACAAGGTAGGCTCCACATGGTAGGCTCCCCAAGGTAAGCTCCCAAAGGTTGGCTGCACAAGGTAGGCTCCACATGGTAGGCTCCGTAAGACAGGCTCCACAAGGTAGGCTCCGCAAGGTAGGCTCCACAAGACAGTCGCCACAAGGCAGGCTCCGGAAGATAATCTCCACAAGGTAGGCTCCGCAAGGTAGGCTCCGCACGGTAGGCTCCACAAAACAGGTGCCGCAAGATAGGCTCCATAATGCAGGCTCCACAATGCAGGCTCTACAATGCAGGTTACACAAGGTAGGCTCCACAAGGTAGGCTCCACAAGGTAGGCTCCACAAAGCAGGCTCTACAAGGTAGGATTCCACAATGCAGGCTCCACATTCCAGGCTGCACAATGCAGGCTCCACAAGGCAGGCTCCATAAGGTAGGCTCCGCAAGGTAGGCTCCACAATGCAGGCTCCACAATGCGGGCTCCACAATGCAGGCTCCTCAAGGCATGCTCCGCAAGGCAGGCTCCACAAGGCAGGCTCTACAAGGCATTCTCCACAAGGTAGGATTCCACAATGCAAGCTCCACATTCCAGGCTGCACAATGCAGGCTCCACAAGGCAGGCTCCACGAAGCAGGCTCCGCAAATCACCCTCTACGAGAAAAGCTCTACAAGGTAGGCTCCGCAAAGCAGGCTCCACGAGAAAGGCTCCACAAGGGTCGCATCCTGGAGACAAAATGCTGTGCATAACCAGGAGCTTTCTAGATAGTATGTCCTTGATGTCAGCTGTTGTCTGTGTAAGTCGTATAATGTACTTGCTGAAATAAAGATTATTATTATTATTATTATTATTATTATTATTATTATTATTATTATTATTATTATTATTATTATTATTATTTTTGTTGTTGTTGTTGTTGTTGTTGTTGTTGTTGTTGTTATTATAGAAACAGTTAATCACCAACGATACCTCGGTAAGTAACTGCTGTGCTTGCAGTGTTAAAATCTATGTTATCTGAGTGTGTGATGGCAGGTTCTTGGATAAATTAATAATCTGATTAATAATTCGACTAATTGGCAGTGAATCGCAGTGGAATAACTGTTCAAGACGGCTGTGAAGCCGATGTAAAGAAGCCGTCTAGTGTTGTAAGATAAATGATAACGTAACCTTAGAGGAAGATGACAGTTGTGGCAATCAGTTAAAGTTACCTTCCCTTAAAGTGTACCTGATTACTACTTGTATCTGATTGTTATAGTGTACTGATATGCTAAGGTGTTGCCCAGGTGTTGCTAAAGTGTTGCTCAGGTGTTGCTAAGGTGTTGCCCAGGTGTTGCAAGTGTTCTTCATCAACAGGTCGGTGTTATACCTTCAACATAACACCGGGGAATCTTGGTACAGATAATATCTTCTGAATCTCACTTGCTAAATATCTGGCCTGACCTACTGCCACTAGTGGACCCCCGCCCACATGTGACAACCTATCTAACTGCTGCGTCTCTCAACATCTACTACTCCATTCGCATTTAACAGGCCTAGCCTTCATAGTGCATTTTCACCTATAACGATGACTGCAACTCAAAATTCAATTACATTTTGCTCTGTACACTAGGATATTATATCTTATATTCAGTCTTCTAAGGCCAACATAATCAACACAGAAATTAACTTATTCATGGTGATAATTAAGACATGTGAAATAATTGAGTATGTTTGTTACTGAAATGTTTCAACAAATATCCGACTGTTGCACATGTGTCTTAATCAAGTTATTCATATATATATTCTGTACCTTACATAGGAACCAATCTTACTCTGTTTAACACAGATGTTGAAATATTCATATATTATTTAACACTGACAAATACCTGCTCTGACTGTACTAAGTGCTTGTACTCACGCCTGGTATGTACCGTAGCCTCTTGTTCGCGTAGCCACGAGCGCTGCTGACACGAACACAAGAGGGAACCCGTAGCCAACCATCATGAAGTATTTCATTTTGTTAAACGACGTGAAAACCTGAGATGACAATATGGATTATTATTGTAATAATGACCTGAGATAATATGGATATTGTCAAAGATTGTATATCACAGCGCCCTCGCTGGAACAATACCCTGACTGTAATGTACATCACAGCGCCCTCGCTGGAACAATACCCTGACTGTAATGTACATCATAGTGCCCTCGCTGGAACAATACCCTGACTGGAATGTACATCACAGCGCCCTCGCTGGAACAATACCCTGACTGGAATGTACATCACAGCGCCCTCGCTGGAACAATACCCTGACTGGAATGTACATCACAGCGCCCTCGCTGGAACAATACCCTGACTGTAATGTACATCACAGCGCCCTCGCTGGAACAATACCCTGACTGGAATGTACATCATAGTGCCCTCGCTGGAACAATACCCTGACTGTAATGTACATAGTGCCCTCGCTGGAACAATACCCTGACTGGAATGTACATCACAGCGCCCTCGCTGGAACAATACCCTGACTGTAATGTACATCACAGCGCCCTCGCTGGAACAATACTCTGACTGGAATGTACATCACAGCACCCTCGCTGGAACAATACACTGACTGGAATGTACATCACAGCGCCCTCGCTGGAACAATACCCTGACTGGAATGTACATCACAGCGCCCTCGCTGGAACAATACCCTGACTGGAATGTACATCACAGCGCCCTCGCTGGAACAATACCCTGACTGGAATGTACATCACAGCGCCCTCGCTGGAACAATACCCTGACTGTAATGTACATCACAGCGCCCTCGCTGGAACAATACCCTGACTGGAATGTACATCATAGTGCCCTCGCTGGAACAATACCCTGACTGTAATGTACATAGTGCCCTCGCTGGAACAATACCCTGACTGGAATGTACATCACAGCGCCCTCGCTGGAACAATACCCTGACTGTAATGTACATCACAGCGCCCTCGCTGGAACAATACTCTGACTGGAATGTACATCACAGCACCCTCGCTGGAACAATACACTGACTGGAATGTACATCACAGCGCCCTCGCTGGAACAATACCCTGACTGGAATGTACATCACAGCGCCCTCGCTGGAACAATACCCTGACTGGAATGTACATCACAGCGCCCTCGCTGGAACAATACCCTGACTGGAACAATACACAAATAACCCGCACACAAGAGAGAGGAGCTTACGACGATGTTTCGGTCCGACTCAGACCATCGTCGAGAGCTTCTCTCTTCTATAAACAATTATGTACCAACAACATATTGTTAGTTGTGAGTGAGGTGGAGAGGCTGGTGGTGGTGGTGGTCACCTTATTACAAGTTAGTGCCTAAGACAAGCAGCGTGAGTGAGACAATATTTGCTAACGTGGGATGACTTGTTAACCTAACTTGAGATTCTTTCAGAAAGAAAACTTTTTGCTGATACGATTTTTTCAGCATCTTGGAGTTTCTCAAGTTCCTGGATGCTGAGACAGTGGTACATAATTATAGGAGGGAAGGGAGGTGGTGACTAGCAGGTCAAGTGCTGCTAGGGTAGGTCAAGTGCTGCTAGGGTAGGTCAAGTGCTGCTAGGGTAGGTCAAGTGCTGCTAGGGTAGGTCAAGTTCTGCTAGGGCAGGTGAAGTGTTGCTAGCGTAGGTCAATGCCGCTTGGACAGGTCAAGTGCTGCTTGGGCAGGTCAAGTCCTGCTAGGGCAGATCAAATGCTGCTAGGGCAGGTCAAGTGCTGCTAGGATAGGTCAAGTGCTGCTAGAAAAGGTCAAGTGCTGCTAGGGCAGGTCAATTTCTGCTAGGACAGGTGAAGTGCTGCTAGGACAGGTGAAGTATTGCTAGCGTAGGTCAATGCCGCTTGGACAGGTCAAGTGCTGCTTGGGCAGGTCAAGTCCTGCTAGGGCAGATCAGGTTCTGGTAGGGCAGGTCAAGTGCTGCTAGGACAGGTCAAGTGCCGTAAGGGTAGGTCAAGTGCTGCTAGGACAGGTCAAGTGCTGCTAGGGCAGATCAGGTTCTGGTAGGGCAGGTCAAGTGCTGCTAGGGCAGGTCAAGTTCTGCTAATACAGGTCAAGTGCTGCTAGGACAGGTCAAGTGGTGATAGGGCAGGTCAAGTGCTGCTAGGACAGGTCAAGTGTTGCTAGGATAGGTCAAGTGCTGCTAGAACAGGTCAAGTGCTGCTAGGGCAGGTCAATTTCTGCTAGGACAGGTGAAGTGCTGCTAGGACAGGTGAAGTGTTGCTAGCGTAGGTCAATGCCGCTTGGACAGGTCAAGTGCTGCTTGGGCAGGTCAAGTCCTGCTAGGGCAGATCAAGTGCTGCTAGGGCAGGTCAAGTGCTGCTAGGACAGGGCAAGTTCTGCTACGACAGGTCAAGTGCTGCTAGGACAGGTCAAGTGCTGTTAGGGTAGGTCAAGTGCTGCTAGGACAGGTCAAGTGCTGCTAGGGCAGATCAGGTTCTGATAGGGCAGGTCAAGTGCTGCTAGGGCAGGTCAAGTTCTGCTAATACAGGTCAAGTGCTGCTAGGACAGGTTAAGTGTTGCTAGGGCAGGTCAAGTGCTGCTAGGGCAGGTCAAGTGCTGCTAGGGCAGATCAAGTGCTGATAGGGCAGGTCAAGTGCTGCTAGGACAGATCAAGTTCTGTAGGACAGGTCAAGTGCTGCTATGACAGGTCAAGTTCTGCTAGGGTAGGTCAAGTGCTGCTAGGACAGATCAAGTGCTGCTAGGGCAGGTCAAGTGCTGCTAGAGCAGGTCAAGTGCTGCTAGGGCAGGTCAAGTGCTGCTAGGACAGGTCAAGTGCTGCTAAGGGTGGTCAAGTGCTGCTAGGGAAGGTCAGGTGCTGCTAGGGCTGGTCAAGTGCTGCTAGGACAGGTCAAGTGCTCCTAGGGCAGGTCAAGTATTGCTAGGACGGGTCAAGTGCTGCTAAGGGTGGTCAAGTGCTGCTAGGGGTGGTCAAGTGCTGCTAGGGCTTGTCAAGTGCTGGTAGGACAGGTCAAGTGCTGCTAGGGGTGGTCAAGTGCTGCTAGAGCAGGTCAAGTACTACTAGGGCAGGTCAAGTGCTGCTAGGGGTGGTGAAGTGCTGCTAGGGCAGGTCAAGTGCTGCTAGGGCAGGTCAAGTGCTGCTAGGACAAGTAAATTGCTGCTAGGGGTGTTCAAGTGGTGCTAGGACAGATCAAGTGCTGCTAGGACAGTTCAAGTGCTGCTAGGGTAGGTCAAGTGCTGCTAGGACAGGTCAAGTGCTGCTTGGGCAGGTCAAGTCCTGCAAGGACAGATCAAGTCCTGCTAGGACAGGTCAAGTGCTGCTAGGACAGGTCAAGTGATGCTACCGTAGGTCAATGCTGCTAGGACAGGTCAAGTGCTGCTTGGGCAGGTCAAGTCCTGCTAGGACAGGTCTAGTCCTGCTAGGACAGGTCAAGTCCTGCTAGGACAGGTCAAGTGCAGCTAGGGCAGATCAAGTGCTGCTAGGACAGGTCAAGTGCTGCTAGGGTAGGTAAAGTGCTGCTATGGCATGTCAAGTGCTGCTAGGACAGGTCAAGTGCTGCTAAGGGTGGTCAAGTGCTGCTAGGGGTGGGCAAGTGCTTCTAGGGCTGGTGGTCAAGTACTACTAGGGCAGGTCAAGTGCTGCTAGGGAAGGTCAAGTGCTGCTAGGGCGGGTCAAGTGCTGCTAGGACAGGTCAATTGCTGCTAGGGGTGGTCAAGTGCTGCTAGGACAGATCAAGTGCTGCTAGGTCAGGTCAAGTGCTGACAGGACAGGTCAAGTGCTGCTAGGGCAGGCCAAGTGCTGCTAATGCAGGTCAAGTGCTGCTAGAGAAGGTCAAGTGCTGCTAGAGCAGGTCAAGTTCTGCTAGGACAGGTTAAGTTCTGCTATGTCAGGTCAAGTGCTGCTAGGAAGGGTCAAGTGCTGCTAGGGCAGGTCAAGTGCTGCTAGGGCAGGTCAAGTGCTGCTAGGGCAGGTCAATTGCTGCTAGGGCAGATCAAGTGCTGCTAGGGCATGTCAAGTTCTGCTAGGGTAGGTCAAGTGCTGCTAGGACAGATCAAGTGCTGCTAGGGCAGGTCAAGTGCTGCTAGGACAGGTCAAGTGCTGCTAGGGGTGGTCAAGTGCTGCTAGGGCAGGTCAATTGCTGCTAGGGCAGATCAAGTGCTGCTAGGGGTGGTCAAGTGCTGCTAGAGCAGGTCAAGTACTACTAGGGCAGGTCAAGTGCTGCTAGAGGTGGTGAAGTGCTGCTAGGGCAGGTCAAGTGCTGCTAGGGCAGGTCAAGTGCTGCTAGGACAAGTAAATTGCTGCTAGGGGTGGTCAAGTGCTGCTAGGACAGATCAAGTGCTGCTAGAACAGGTAAAGTGCTGCTAGGGTAGGTCAAGTGCTGCTAGGACAGGTCAAGTGCTGCTTGGGCAGGTCAAGTCCTGCTAGGACAGGTCAAGTCCTGCTAGGACAGGTCAAGTGCTGATAGGACAGGTCATGTGCTGCTACCGTAGGTCAATGCTGCTTGGGCAGGTCAAGTCCTGCTAGGACAGGTCTAGTCCTGCTATGGCAGGTCAAGTGCTGCTAGGACAGGTCAAGTGCTGCTAAGGGTGGTCAAGTGCTGCTAGGGGTGGTCAAGTGCTGCTAGAGCAGGTCAAGTACTACTAGAGCAGGTCAAGTGCTGCTAGGGGTGGTGAAGTGCTGCTAGGGCAGGTCAAGTGCTGCTAGGGCAGGTCAAGTGCTGCTAGGACAAGTAAATTGCTGCTAGGGGTGGTCAAGTGGTGCTAGGACAGATCAAGTGCTGCTAGGACAGGTCAAGTGCTGCTAGGGTAGGTCAAGTGCTGCTAGGACAGGTCAAGTGCTGCTTGGGCAGGTCAAGTCCTGCTAGGACAGGTCAAGTGCTGCTAGGACAGGTCAAGTGCTGCTACCGTAGGTCAATGCTGCTTGGACAGGTCAAGTGCTGCTTGGGCAGGTCAAGTCCTGCTAGGACAGGTCTAGTCCTGCTAGGACAGGTTAAGTCCTGCTAGGACAGGTCAAGTGCTGCTAGGATAGGTCAAGTGCTGCTACCGTAGG